GGGGGGGGGGGGAGGGGGGAGAGAGAAAAAATCTAAGCTTTGGCTTCACAGGTGATACTTTTCTGTCCATTTTCCAGCTCCATATTAAAAGACGAGAAATCTGTGAAGAAAAAGTGGGTCAAGAAAATGAGAGAAACCCATCATTTTTACAGGGGTTATTAAATCTTTACCAATCAGGGAAAACTTTCTGTTTGTTTCCCGAGAAAAAGGAACTTAATAGGAACAAGGAAGAAGCGCTGCAGATCTTTTTTCCAAGATTAGTATCGTTAACAATTCTTGAATTGCCTGTTGAAATGGCAATAAAAAGATCAAAGCTTTCTGATTTGGAATATGACTTTTCAACAGCCAAGTTGAAAAAGCAATCAGATTTTGATTGATTATGACACTTCTCCTAATTCGGACAAGTGCTCAAACTTCCAACTTCCTAAAGCATCAAACTTTCATACAGGAGGAGTTGGCCTGTGTTCTTCCCTCTTCCCATTATATGTTACGCTTCGATTCAAGCGTCGATATCGATTTCTTTTTTGCTTGCCCTATTCGTTATCTTGTCTGAAGTGAATCTTGTTCAGTTGTTTTCGCCTTATCGGCCGAAGCTAGATCACCTGGAAACTCTGTCCTCGGGGTTGTTTTGAACAGTTGATTGTTATCCCTATTATGAAATCTCTCCATGCCACTCGATCTATTTTGAGTTTTCCCTGTCTGAATCCCGATGGCTTCTCTCGCTTGCGTGTAGGATAATACTCTCCAAGGCATTACAGGCAGGGCGATGAGTAGGATGTCCGGTGAAATGATGGGTTTGGAGGAGGCGTTTCTCGAGAAGAAGAAAGAGGAGATGAAGCTTGAATGCCCGATTTGCTTCGAGCCATTCGATATATCTCACAATGCTCCTCTCGTTCTATGGTGCGGGCACACTCTCTGCAAGAGCTGCGTCTCGAGACTTCACCGAGCCGTCCTGAAATTCTCGAAACTGCACCCAATCTCTCTTCCGTTCCTTGTGTCTTGCCCGTGGTGTAGCTCCTTTTCCCCGAAGCTAACTTTCAAAGGGATTCTTAGGTTCCCGAAGAAGAACTACTTTGTGTTGTGGATGGTCGATAGCGCAGGAAGCAACGGCCAGATTAGACTCGAGGACCCGAGCTTGACAGGTTTTGATGCTCGGGTCCTCCTCGGCTCCCTCTGGAAGTCTCTCTTCGGGTACCTAACGACGGAACGAGTCTTCAGGCTAGTGTTTCTCGTGATCTTCATGGCTCTATATGCAGCTCAAGTAAGCACAGTCCTCTTAGCTCTCTACTCCCTCACTGTCCTCTTAGGATCGGTTTTCTTGCTCCTTCCCGAACTCTGTTTACCAGCAATCGGTTTAGCTGCTTAACCAGAGGGAAGAATTCCTAAACCGCCAAAACTCGAAACCTCTCCGAAATTATCGATATTTGACTCAGTATGTGAAGCCTAATATCGGTTGTTGACTGTGTTCGTAGTGTGAAATCTTCGGTACTGGCGTCTATCCGGAGAAATTATCGATGATCTCTTTGATTAAATTTTCCGGCATAGGGGTCTAACCGGGGAAATCAATCACCAGCGTTTAGATACCGGGGTTGTCCCCTATGTAAATTTTCCGGTATGGGTGGTTAGCCGGAGAAGTTATCCTAGATGTTGGTAGGCATTCTGGTATGGAAGTCTAACCGGAGAAAATATTGGTACTGTGGCGTACCTCGGGTTCCGGTTTGGTATATGTACAGTGTGAGGAAAATATGTAAAATGCTTGTATAGTGAATAATTGAGCAGAAGGCGTAAAATAATTTGTGTACAAGTATATACATTATACATTTTTATTATAATATATATAATATATATTCTTTGTAATAAAAACAATTAACATCTTATTTATTTATATATTAATGATTCTTCTTTTTATTCAGTAGGTATGGTAGCTATGCTTAAAAATTAAAAGGTTGAAGTTCTATGATATATGGAAAATTAAATTCAACTTGTTTAGTCAATTAAAAATTGGGCTTTGTTTGTGCTGAGTTCGATGTCTGAAGATAATGGAGTATTTATACAGCAGCAAACATTTATTTCAATCTAATGTTGATAAATACAAGGCAATATATATATATACACACACACACACATAATACTCTTAGATCAATCTCCTTTCTCATGATCTGAAGCATGAGAGGGAATGTTGGTCGTAGCAGTTACCTGTGTGGTTTGGTCGGACTGTTGTTTATAGATAGCTGCAGCCATTTTGTTGTAAAGATCCATGTTCATTGTCTGCATCAAAACCAGAAAATCTCGATCCTTTTATCGGATTTCGACACGGGTACCCGAGATTATGTTTGAAAGATTCAATGATCAGCCTTACCTGTGCAAAGAAAGCGCTGTAAGGATCAGACATGGCGGCTGAAGAACAGTTGTTGCAGTCTCTGTTTGTCATGGGAGGAACCATCAGTGGTGGTGGAGGATGAACATAACCTCCTCCTAAAGCATTTCCCATACGCGCCATTGTCGTGAGAAGAGCCATCTGAAATTGTTGTTGTTGTTGTTGTTGCTGTTGCTGTTGCTGTTGTTGCTGTTGCTGTTGCTGTTTCTGGTGTTGCATGCTGAGAACGGATTGGGGTGGCAATGGCGGCATCATCATCATCATCTGATGTGGTAAGTTGGATCTCATGCTCATAAACTGGACTTGAGATTGCAGCTGTTTCAGATGCTCGATCACGTCGTCCAAGATCGAGACTTTATCCATCTGCAAATACATCGTGTACTTTCATGGCTCAGTACCAAATGATCTGTATTTTTTCAGGCTCTTGATGCGTTTTGGATCAAAAGTGTCTAACTTTCAACAACTCAGGAGTGGAAACTTAGTTGCAGAAAGATACTGATGTATAAAAAAACCCGGTTTCTATTGATGTTACCTTACTTCCATTAGGAAGTAGCTTCTGAAGTGTCCTCATCCTCTGATTGATCCTATCTCGTCGTCTCTGCCTCACCCACGAATCGAAAACACATGTTTCAGATCGTCGATTGATCGGCACATAAATAAATAAATAAATAAAATTATCGTTACCCTCTCGGATTCATTATGAATGGCTGCAGCCTTTCCTCTTCTTCTGCAAGAACGTTCTCTTCCCTCCTGCGTCTCTTGTTCTTCTCCTTCTGTTTCTTGTGTTTCCTGCAAGTTACCGTCCGGGTTTTCAGCACCATTTTCTCAATTAATGGCTATTCTTAGAAAAAAAACCCTCTGATTATAGAAAATCTGCATAAAAAGAGCCTTCTGTTATCGTACCGATCCTGAACGGACATGGTCTTTTCCTCTAGTTCTGGCTGTTTTCAAATTCCGACAAGACTCGAAAGATGCCCAAGACATAGATCTTGTGTCGTTGGAAAGACTGGCACTTGCGGAGAGACTCTGACCGAGCCCGAGGCTCTCCTCTTGCAACCCAAACCACAAATCTCCATCCCAATGCTGACGTTTTCTCGCCCCTGGACCGTCCCTGTTGCCCGGTTGGTGGTTCGGACCATCCTGGCTCGGATGCTTGCTCTGCAGAGCAGCCTGGTGAACCACGGACTCCAAGGTCTCGCAGCCGCCGAGAGGTTCGGTCCATATGGGCCTAGACGAGGTGTTCGGCTGCAAAATTTCTCCTAAACCATGGACAGTTAATTGCCCATTTTCCCATGTGAGCTCTCTGACTCCATAGCTCGACCTGAAGTTTTCAGAAGACGGGTTTAGTCAGGCCATGGTAATTTCTTGCGTAGGAAGAAAGGGCAACACCAGTGGAAATTCTTGGTCATTCTCTCAAATGGGCATCAAACAATAGAAAGCAAGAGTAGTGTCATCAGCAATACCCAGTTACAGATTATTGTATATAGCTGAGAATTCGACCAACAGTTAAGAAGACGACAGAACAGAGCTGCGGAAACGAGCGAAGAAACAAGAAGAGGTTGTGTCGATTTCATATCTGACACAGGAACGGAGTAAAGACTCTGTTGCAAGAGGAGATTTACATGTGGACAAGAGGAGAGGCGCAGTGAATCCGCACGTGTGGGGAGAGCTGAAGTAAATCTCAGTCTTCGTCTTCTTCCTCTTCTTCTTCCTCTTGTACGATCCGTGGTGATCGGTCAATTGGGTAATTCCTCTGTTCCAACTCCTCACAGTACAGCGACCACTCATGCAGTTTCTTCTCTTGCCTTCAAGTCTTTGCAGCACACTAATAAAGACTCTCTCTCTCTCTCTCTCTCGAGTTTGGTCCCCTGTCTCGGACAGTCTCTGAGGATTTTGTCTAGTTGATGAAGATTTTTGAAACACAACATGTGGCAGTGATTGTGTTGTGCAGAATCCTGCCTCTCTTTCTTTCTCGCTCTGTTTTAATCCATTGTAGCGGGATAAGGGCATTTCCGTCATTTTCCTTCCACGAAAAACGTTCAAGGTCCAAATACGTTTTGACTTGGGGCAAGTGGCTCTAGGAGAACCACATCTTTGGAATTCTCATTCCGGTTCGAAAGGCGTAATGGTCTCAGTTCACATATGTGTGTGTGTTGTATATATGGATGGACATGGCATGTTAATGCGGAATTACCAAAGTACCCTCGATCGGTGAATGAGCTCTGTCCAATCATTTGGTGTCAACGTCATATACTGAGTTGGAATTCCGCAAGAGTTTAATCGTGACACGTGGTAGAATACTATTGGGCGTTGGTCGGTCCACGTCAGCACGATGATCTCTGGTTTCAACCAATCATTTTCTGGCATTAGATTCGTGATAGCGAGTCCCAACGCTCCCGACAAGAGTTTTATCTGTTCGATACCACTTTTTTTCCGTCTGGTTAAACGTCCGATATCACTTTTGTTTCGTTAGTTTCAGTCCTACGTGATTTTTGGGTGTTATTTTCGTAAAATAACATGCTAAGTGTATAACCATGCTAATTGTACGACCGTACGAGTTCAAAACTTATTTTCCAATATGTATATTGGAAAATAAATAAATATGTTGCCCAATATATTCGTCTTAAATTTGATCAATCTCACTTTCTTTATGAATATATTCGTAGCCAAAGAAAATACCGGATAATGTTATGATGCATGTGTAGATCTATGTTTTTTTTATAATCCAGAAGTTCACCGGACCTTTGACCCAACTATATCTTTCAGAGGACCGGAGTAGTCTATATAAATTCTCCTCCCAAGTTCAGGAATCGAATAGTCGACGTGAAGAACATTAGTCAACATATCTAGGGTATAATAGCATTGGGATTAGAATCACGTGTCTAGTAAGTTAGTGACACTAAGATTAATTTTTGACGATTTAAATTAATTTATATAAAATTACGGATAATTAGTACTCGTTTTACTTTGATATAAAAAAACCAAACTAATACATTTTAATTTTTTTCCTCATCGTTTTATTAGTATCCCAAAATAATAAATTCTTCTATAGATCCATAGCTATTAGGATACATCATTATAACCTTATTGTTATAATATATAGGGTTTTAAATGACACAACAGATAATATAGGATGAGAATAGTAAAAATGCGATAACGATGTGTTTAAAATATAGAATAATATTGGTAACAACAATGACCACACCGGTCGACTTGTCTTGATCTAATTATAGGGTGTGGACCAAATTTGCGATGCCCATTTTCCTTTGAGCCATACCACAAAATTGGATCATCTAAATCCTTTTGGTCCCTTATGATAACATTCTCTTGTTGGCTGCATAACATATATATATATATATATATATATAGAGAGAGAGAGAGAGAGAGAGAGAGAATATTTAATTATGTTTCATTTTTTGTAACAAATTTATTACATATATTTTTTCAATATTAATTATTTTAATTGTTTGAATAAAACTCATATGATTTTAGTAACATCGGAAACAGAAGTAATCCATGGGAACTTTGCCTGTTCTTCTCATCGTGTTTGCCTTTTCTTTCACCCGAGCTTCTTCGCTCTTTCGTTTCTCCTCCAATTGTTGTTTTGCTCCTCTTGCGATCATTTCAATCCTCGATAGTTTAGATCGATAGCGTCGATTATTTATTTCTTTTCTCCTCTCTAATTCACTCTTTTGTCACAAAAAAAATGAAAAAAAATATATATATTAATAATTCTACAACATTATAAATGAAAATTAGGAAAAAAAACATGAATATAAATAAAATGGGAAGCACAAAGGTACCTTTGATTTCTCCATTTTGAGCCTAGCTGCTAATTTTCTCTCGTTTTCCCAAGCAAGAATAGTATCTTTCATTTTCTCATACCTTCAATTTAAAGTTTCATACATCCTTTTACAAATTGCTGTTTAATTTTATAATTAGTATTTAAATAAATAAATAATATTTACCTTTTCCTGATTTTTTTAATTCGAACACATTCCCAAGAATCTGCTTTACTTATCGTTGAAGATGAACCATTATGTTGATACCCTTTCTTAGTAAAATTCTCCTCTAACAAAGAAGAAAAATAAATAAAAAAGATGTTAATAATATTATTATCTAATTTATTCATAAACCGATTCGACTATTTAAACATTTTATAATCATTTTCACCTCCGATTTTAACCTCTTGTGTATGTGTCCTCTCTATGTTTCTCCCTTCTTGTTTTGTCATTACTTTATTATCTTTCCTTTTAACTTTCTTGTTTTTCACATTTAACCCCTCGAGTTCTTCTCTTACTATCCTCTTTTCATCTTCTTCTTCCTCCACCGATCTTACGGCAAATGCCGTGGCTGCAACCGCAACCGCGAACTGGCCGTTCTTGTCATCGTAACAGTCGTTTTTCGTGTACCAGTAAGATTGATCTCTTAGCCAATTCAATGCTGTATTATCTTTGATCCCATGCATATATATAGATTCAAGTAAGATGCTATATATGCATGTGTGTGTATGTATATATATATATTTTCTATTTGTTAGTTTATTGAACATATAGTTAAGATTTTACCGGTTGTGACCAATTTCGGTAGCCATGAACAGGATTGCTCTTGTCCCATTTCCGAAAACATAACTCTGTGCCAAGACATAATAGAGGTATATTACTCGTAGTTCTATAGATTTTTCACTAAATTAATGTCTAAGAAACTTTTTTAAGAGAGTTGGAATTAGGGTGGTGTTTTCGGTTCGATTTTCCAAGATTGAATCAAATCTAATTGAATAATGTGTAATGATATCTTAACTGGATATAATCGAAAATTTGATTGGATATGATTTTTTTGTTAACCAAATTAATTGAAAAATAAAATAAAAATGCAAATATTTACAAAAATGGATGTTTCTCATAATAAAAACGAATCTAAACCGAAACTCGGTAAAAAAATGATTGGTATAGATTTTTCAAAACCAAATAATCCGAACAAAAAGATAAACGAATCCAAATCTAAAATACTTAAAAATGGAACTAAAAAAACGAAAAAAAAATGAAGACGTTTTGAGATTAGTTGTACCTTTGCTTGCCTAGATTCTCCATATATAGATCTCCCACAAGACAGGAGCTCTTAGAACAATATGTCTTGTCTTAATTAATACTTAAGTCCCTCGTATACATACAATGTAAGAACATCACAAGATAAATATATAGTCATGTTAAATATAAGTAACATGAAAGTTCTATTGCCATTTTTTTTTGGAATTGAAGAGATAAACGTGATTAAATTCCTGTTCCAATGAACAGGGGCATGCCAAGTATCTAACATGTGATACATATGCCATTCTTCATCTCTAGGCACTGTATATGTATATATATATGTATGTATATATATATATATTATACATGTGCCATTCTTCATCTCTAGGCTTTCGTAAAGAATAATATTATTTAATTTTGCCTACTTTTTACCCTTTTACTTTGTATCGTCAGCAAAATTTTTAATGGTTTAGTACATAATATTACTATATAAAAGAAAAATTATCGGGCACATGCCACTGGTAAACTTCGGTATCCGGTTCGATTGGTTATTATCGAACCGTTTTTTTTTCGGTTGAAGCCGTACCGGAATTTTCAAGTACCAAAACACACGTGTGTGGCTTCACACACGTACTTTCTTCTATCCCCGCTCCCTCTCACCTTTCAAAAATCCTCTTCCTCTTCGCTGATTCTCATTCTGAAATCGATGGAGATTCCAGAAGAGCAAGAGCGAAGGGTAAAGGCTGAGATAAATCGGTTAGGAGATTTGGAGAAACGGAAACCCACATTCGAATCTGTACAAAACCCACATCGACCTCAAGATTTTAGGTTATTGAAATGTCGGAAGCTCGATTCGGGATACGATACCCGTTTTGCGGAAGGTCATCAGAGTTTTGTGTCGGACCCGGGTGTGAGCACCGGTCTGCCCGATAATTTTCAGGCCAGGCTCGAAATCTGCTCGCCGGATTCGTTCTCGGTGACGCCGGTTCAAGTGCGAGGGTTCAAGTACCCGGGAGAGCAAGAATGCTTTCGGAGATTGAACGAGATACTATCTGGGGTAAGTCTTCCCGTGATTCTGTGGCGCTAATTTTGTTCTGTAGAGAGTGTTGGAATTCTGGGAGTCGGTGTTTGTTTCTTCATCCGGATTCCTAGTAGAAGCTTGTCTTAAAAGGTGCAATGTGATGACACAAATTCTGATCGTGGATTTTGGATCAATGTTACTGGTATTCATCTCCGATTAAAGGGTCTTGAGATTGATCTGCTGTGAATCTACGTATGAGTGGCTAATGATCATTAACTATTTTCACTGCCCTTTGTTTCGTTTATTTGTGTGCACAGAGTGAGAAGGAAATCAGCAAGTTTCTCCTTTATGCTTGTCGAGAGTTATCCTGCGATTAAATATGAGGAAGCAACTGCCATTTCCTTCCCCTTTTTCTTAGATTGAGTTTGTGTTTTAATTGTGTTTTGATCAACTTTCCATTCAGGTGGTTCCTTCACATTACACTCAAAATCACGATGGAGGAAAAGCTGGGGTCTATAAGATTAGAGACTACAGAGTGGTTTTGGCATGTCTAAAAAGGTCTAAGGGCGTCAAAGTTGAAGAAATACCCTGGATAACATTGGCTGTTGTTGAGAAACTTTCCCAGTCATTTGTTTCTGGGAAATGGGAACCGTGTAAACCGGAACATTTTCCGGATGAAAAGGTCGAGGAACTGATAGGGAATCTGCCCAGAAAATTACTGAATTCCCTTTTACCTTTCCAACTTGATGGTCTAAGGTTTGGTTTGAGGAGAGGTGGCCGATGTCTAATTGCAGATGAAATGGGACTTGGGAAGACCCTTCAGGTTGTTACTTCTGTAGAATTCATTCTGTGGAGTAGTAGTTACTCAAATTTCATGTTAGTCTGATGACATACTAAATCTGTGGGCTTAAACCTTTTTCAGGCCATTGCCATTGCTGGCTGCTTCATGAATGAGGGTTCTATACTAGTTGTTTGTCCAGCAGTTTTGCGTTTCTCATGGGCAGAAGAACTGGAGCGGTGGCTGCCCTTCTGTTTGCCATCAGACATACATCTTGGTACAGATCTTGATTGAACCTCTGCCTTTTTCCGTCTATTATCGTATTAATCCTTTTTGCACTTCACTGCATCCATATTGTCAGGTTGTTTGCTAACAATTGTTCTTGAAGCTAAACTCATGATTTTCTATTTTGATTTCCTTTTTCTGCTTGCTTGGGGCTCAAAAGCTAAAGCTGTTAAGTTTTCGAGTCAAATTCTAGAGGCCCTGCACAATTTATCTATTTAAGTTGAAATGAGTTTTGACTACACTTTTTGGTTTCAGTTTTCGGGCATCAAAACAATCCTGTCTATTTATCACGATGGCCAAAAATTGTGGTCATTTCATACACGATGCTTCAGCACCTACGGAAGACCATGCTCGAACGAGAATGGGCCCTCCTGATAGTGGATGAATCTCATCACTTGCGTTGTTCAAAGACAAAGTCGGAACCAGCCGAGGTCCACTTCATTTCATTCGCTATAAATGACAAGTCTATCTAACCTTTCTTTTCCGTTTTTTGTTTTCTTGTGCTTTTTTCTTTGGTTATTAGTGGCTCTTTAGTAAGCTCAGCTGATTCAGTGACACTTTATATAAAACTTCAAGGAACAACTTCAGATTCTTGTGTGCTGGAAAAAGCTTTTGAAATTGTTGACTATGTTTTAGCAGATAAAGACAGTCCTTGATGTAGCTGAAAATGCCAAGCGGATAGTTCTATTATCTGGAACTCCTTCTCTATCGAGGTTGTAAGATGTCAAATCTTAAAGCACAGTAAAGTCTTTTTTCTTTTGGATACTTATAACTTGATATTTCTCCTTCAATTTTTTTCTAATTAATCCAAGAGGCTTACATATTCTCCTAGGTGATCATAGGCCCTTCGACATTTTCCATCAGATCAACATGCTATGGCAAGTTTTCTTCTCGCATGGACTTAAATTTTTCCTCCCTTACTCCCCTGCTCAATTTTGTTAATGGAAATTTCTGTCACTAGGCCTGGTTTACTGGGAAAGGACAAGTACGAGTTTGCAAAAACTTATTGTGACATCGGGTTTGTCAAAGGTTTACAAGGCAAAGTTTTCCAGGTAAATATGGACTTTCCTTGGTAACCTGTTCTATGGTTATGCTATATATCCTAACATGAATGCCCCATTGGCAAATGTCAACATAGTTTATTGCCCATAAAAGATGCAGCTGTTATATCTCATGGTTTCTTCCCTCTGATGGTTCAGGATTTTTCAAAGGGCATTCGCTTGCAGGAGTTGAATGTGCTGCTTAAGCAAACAGTGATGGTATTTCCTTGTTCTTTGAGCTAATTTTGGCTATAATGATTTCCAGGTCATCAATGGTGGATAATGGGAGACTAGTATATCACATATTTCTCTTGAAAAAGAACCGATGGTATAAAATGAGTTCGGCAATTGATATTTCTGGTCCTCACTTTTAATTTTTGGGATAAAATCATTCTGTCTAGAGATTTTAGGTAGCTAAGAATGCTAACCTGTTACATTTGGCCTTGTAATACTACGCTCTAACAAATCCAGCAATGATGATCATTAATGCCAAAACTTTGTAAAGGTCCTTCATGAACTCATTGAAAGGAAAAATGAGGTCCTTGACCTTTTTCATCAATTCCAGTACCTGCGGGGATGATGTAACCTCTTAGGTTAGTAGCAGGTTCTGTTATTTCCGATATCAGATCGATCAGTTTCCCCTCAAGTTCCTTGACAAGGCATAGCAGTTGACCTTTTCATGGAGCCTGGAAGGAATATGTTAGACAGAGTTAGAGAGATAATATACTGTATCTATTACTTAATAAACTAAATCTTGGGAAACAGTTCTGAAGAATATTATGATGCTACCCTTAATGAGATATGTTAATTGACCTTCTCTACATTATGTTTTTAGTTGAGCAAGAACTATGAATTATGACATCCCTTTTCATTTGTTGTAGATAAGAAGACTGAAACAGCATGTGTTGACACAGTTGCCGCCTAAACGTAGGCAAATTGTAACCATCTTGCTAAAGAAGTCTGATATAGCATTGGCCAAGGCTGCTGTCAGTGAAGCTCATCAAAAGGCTTATAAAGAAAATGTTGTTATTACAGAAGCCAATAAAAACTCAGAGGAACCTCATGGTATGTGCAGGTTTTTGTACGGACCTCTTACCTATGTTGACAAATCTTTTTATCATCATTTTTCGTGGCCTATTTACTGAACACTTAAGCATCAAGTTTCTTTTGAAGTTTGGATCTGACCGACAGCTGTGATTATTTCATGCTTTCGATTGGCTGTACAGCTTTAACACAGTTGTCTTTGTTGATTTAGCGGGCAATGCTTGTGGAGAAAATAAAGGCGGAGATGTGAGTTCAGAGGATTTGGGTTCTCCTAACCGTATGTCTCAAGTACTTTGTTCCATGGATACCAGACCCAATTTTTTCTGCATATGTTTATCATTTTCCCTTTATTTTTAGTTCTCAAAATATTTCTTTTCTCACATTTTAGCTGTTACGGATAATCAACTATGTGGGAAACTCTCATACCAAGAACTTGGCATAGCAAAGCTTTCTGGGTTTCGTGATTGGTTCTCTCTACACCCACTTATACCTGAGTCAGATAATATCCCAGAAGAAGCTGATGGGAACACGAGCTCAACTAAGATGGTAGTTTTTGCACATCATCATAAGGTTCTGGATGGAATACAGGTTAGTTTGTTCAAACATCGACAACTTTTGTCAACATTGTTATTATTTGAAGAAAAAAATTCTGAGGCTTGGTCAACCTACTATGTTTCTTTTATTTTGGCTTTTAGTATTGGTGATGCAACTTATTTGAAATGTCATGGGCTGGTAATAATGGCTTATGATTCACAGGGCAAGTTTATTTTTTTAAACCATGTGGAGTTTGTGCTTAAGTAGCTTTCATCTAATTGTGGCAGGAGTTCATATGTGAGAAGGATATCTGTTTCGTTCGCATTGATGGGACAACATTGCCAAGAGATAGACAATTAGCTGTACAGTCATTTCGATCATGTAGTGAGGTCTGGACAACATTTTCTGTATGTTTATTCTCCTTCAAATGCTTATGCCTTTTTGCTTGTATGTTCCTAAGTTACAGTTTGTTCCTCCAGGTCAAAGTTGCAATAATTGGCATAGAAGCTGGCGGAGTTGGGCTTGATTTCTCAGCAGCACAAAACGTTGTGTTTGTTGAATTGCCTCAAACACCGTCACTGATGCTTCAGGTTCTTTCTTATTCAGTTCATATGTTCTTCCTACTTCCTGTTTTTGTTCCTAAACCTATTCTGCAGGACTTGTTAATTCTGGTTGGTTTTGGAATACATAATCAATTGAATACATTTTGAAGGCTGAGGATAGAGCTCATAGGCGAGGGCAAAAAAGTGCTGTCAATGTGTACATCTTCTGTGCAAAGGTGATCCTCTCGTTGCCATCATAATTCTCATTTAGAGTTTGTCTTGTGCCTTATACTTGGATAGCAACTCTATTGCCACAGGATACAAGGGACGAGTCTCGCTGGAAAAATCTGAACAAGAAGCTGCATCGTGTTTCATCTACCACAGATGGAAAATATGATGCAGTAACTCATATTGAAGTAACTTCTAAATCTCAGTTTTCTTTTCTCCATTATCAGTTAATTGTTTTTACTCATCACATAAATATGTAGTTCATGATAGTTTTATGGGCGCTTTCCCACCCAGCGGGGCATATGCCTACCATTATCTTGGTTTCAATTTGGTTAAATTTCATCTCTGGCTATGGCAGGTTGATGATGTATATTCTTTAAAGCATCCTGAAGAAATTGTTGAAAAAGAATGCCTTGATGAGCGTCCATCCAGAGCAGATGATGTCGCAGCTGATAAACTTGTTGAAAGATTGGAAGATCAGAATGAATGTGGATTCGATTCAGATGTATCAGATTATATTGATCTCAAGGTACACCTTTTGACTTCATAAATCTGTTTATCCAAACAGGTTATCTGTTTCCCGAAGATGAATATCCTTTCTTTATACTGGGAGGTTTTTGAGCCAAATGTCTGGTGAACATGAGCAAGAAATGTAGAACTCCTGCTTGATCTACATATCTGTTTCATTGTTCACCTAAACTCAAAGAAAAATTCACTTGTTTTGGTCGAATACTTATTTCGGCTGTACAGGATGATGCCATTCCTAATCTGGAAATATCAAAATCTCACCCTTTTGTTGAACAATTACGAGCTGTTGCCTCTGACTCTGAAGATGGGTCTCCAGGCAATGTTTCTAAGCTCAACAATGATAACCAAGGGATCTATCAAGCTAAAAATGTATGAGCCTAAATCTTTTGAAATGTCTATTTGTTTTCTTGCCATATCTCTGATATTCAGATAATTGGTTTCATGCAGTTTATCACTGATGGACATGTGAAGGATAATGATTCTTTTTCTTATTCCCCTCTTGTGAGTTCCCTGCGATTTGAGGTAAAGTTAGAAATCAGAGCCTTTGCTCTGTTTTCTCTGATTAACTCTCTCCTTTCCAAGGCTGATATTAGCACCTAAATTTGGATAAAGGGATAAATGCATTTGTCAAGATGTTAAAAGTTTTGTGAAACTATATAATTCATATGTTCAAGTCTCTCGTTTTTTAACTTCTTCAGCTCCAGATTTAAGCTGCTATGCTCATTTCTAATTCCTTTGTCACTGCAAAATCCTTTTATCCAGTCTCTCGTCAGTTAATTTGCTCTTATTTACCTTTAGGTGAGCCAATACACAGGAAGAATCCATTTATATTCTTGCATTCTGGGTAAAGATCCAAGGCCAAAGCCGCTTTACCAGAATTTCCGACCTGAGGAGATTGAAACGTGCAATTCGAGTCCGGTTATCAACGAAGAAACAACCTTGGGATCCCTCGGGGACAAACATGTGGGTGCTGTTTCAGAATTCGTCAAAGAATGGAATTCTTTACGCCCAATCGAAAGGCGGAAACTTCTTGGAAAACCTTTGCAACTTCCACTGTCCTTGGAGCTGAGCTACTTGAGTGAAAGTACTACTCACAACAATGAGGTATGCCGTTTTAGTTTCAGCTATAAAATTATTTCCCAAAATCTGGTTCCAGGATAAGTATTCAGAGTGTTTATGCATCAGGGACTGATCAGGGGAGGAAGCAAAAGACGAAACACACCCTTGTCCGAGATCAGTTTTCCCTTACCTCCAAATGCAGTGTGGAAAAAGATCAACCTTCGAAGTGGCTGCCACAAAAAGGAGAAAGAATACACCCAAGCCTGGACTCTGAATGACGAACCACTCTGTAAACTCTGTCAAAAGCCCTGCAAGTGTGTGAAACCATGGAGTGTATTCACTACTTACTGTGAGTTGGTTTCTGTGCTTCACCATGGATTATATAAATCCATCTTGTTTTGTTTCTAGGGGAACAAATGCCAAGGAACCCGAATACCTCGAGGATCTATTCTGCAATCTTGATTGTTATGAAGAATACCGGATAAGAACAAGTGGCAATTATCTGCGTCAGGTACAATTTTGGTTTCTTTCACTGTGTTGATCTTGATCTTGTCCTCTGGGATTAAGGCAGTTTATTTGTACATCTCTCTGGCATCACTGAAAGATGCAACATTCGTGATACTTTAGGAACTGTTTCAAATTGAACATGGGATTTGTACAAACTGCAAACTAGACTGCCACCAACTTGTGACAAAGATAAAGCGGTTAACCGTGGAGAAGCGTCGTGGGTATATAATCAAAGTGGCTCCAAATTTGGCTGCTCGGAAGAACTTGTAAGCCATTTCAAGTCTTGACTTACATGATGTGAATGCGAGTTACTCTATCTGTACTACCAACTTTTCTTTTACAATATAATGAGTTTCCTTTTATAATGTCTAATAAGGCTCGAGACCCTTGTTAGCGATCCTACCGAAGGAAACGCATGGCACGCAGATCACATCATTCCAGTCTACCGAGGTGGAGGTAGGGTTTGTCTTCAACACTTTTCCCGTTCATCGCATCAATGCTATACCGTCATAGCTACGTACATATATATGTAAAAGATTTCCTTTTCATGGCAGGAGAATGTAGGCTAGAGAACATGAGGACACTTTGCGTGGCTTGCCATGCAGACGTCACTGCAGCTCAATGTGCTGAGCGGCGTGATATAAGGTCCAAAGCCAGGAAGCAGCTCAAGACCACCTTAAAGGAACTCAAGAACAACAAGAACCAGAAAATTTCAGTGTCTGATAATGAAAAGGTACGAGGACAAATGAAGAATCTCATTCTAACATGTCTTGTGTCTCATGTCATAGAAGCACAAAACCAAAACAACAATAAGACCCATCAATTTTTTCAACATTAACTGTTGTTTCTTTCTGTTGGGTTTTTCAGGATAATGATGATTCAGATGCTCTGATAAACGTCGATGAGGACGAGCTTCTAGTTGCTGTTCCCGGCAGTGCATACTCCAACGATCAGAAGACAAATCTGGCATCATAATGTTCATGTTTGATCTGCAAAGAAGTTTTGCTTGTTCTGTCTGTATCCTGGTTGATCTGACAAGAACAAAACGTGGGATAATTCATTTCCTCTTTGAAGTTTTTCTTGTTGTCTAGTGTTGTGACCCACAGTTACTTCTCCTTTAGACAAGAACAAAGCTACAAGAGAAAATGGGAAGTTCTATTATACAAAGGGAATTGATATTGGAAGAGACCTGAAACATATAATTAAAGACCAGAAAAAAGACTAAAGCAATTCGCTCTCCATTAGAGGAGATATCTTCAGAGCACATAAATCACAAAAGATTGTTCTTGAGTTAAAGGTGTGGGACACACACACACACACACATATATACACACTGTTGAGCTCAAGAGTAATTTGAAACAGAGATCCTAATCCTTCATGGTGGCAGAAGAAATGCTAATATATTCAACATGACAATATCCTTAAATCTCCAACCAGAGTCCAAGTCAGTGTCATGTCCTCTTCATCATCCCACCTGCAGAAAACCTTAAAGGCAAAAAGCAGAAGAAAATGGATAGACAGATTTAACAATCTTGCATTGCACAATTATGTTTCAAAGGAAAACAGCCCATAGTAACACAAGCTGATGTGGATCAGTCAAGGAGGTCTTTTATCAGTGCAGGAAAGCACAAGTGCAGCCAAGTAGATGATATGAAGCACGAGGACATATACACACATATACACACAGCAATGTCGGGAGAAGTCTAGATTGACATTCAATAATAGAATGCAGCCCCATGCCTTTTTGTTTCAACCCGATTATTTATTTATTTTTTTGTAGGAGAGTTTGCGGAGTCTCAGATGCAATGGCTTAAAGCATGGACAAGGGCCCTCTCCGTTTATAACCTCGTAAACTTTCAAACATCACTTGCCACATGAATCCTGCTCAGACCTTTTACTTTTACATCCATCATTTCCACATCGATCGATCCATGAAGATGAAGATGGAAACTTGGGAACAAATGCATTATAAGCAGAAGAGAGTGAAAACACCAAAAAAAAGACAGGAAAAAAAGGCATCCCGAAAGCTTACCTGGAATCTCAAGCGAGAAACTTTCGAGATCCAAGCCAATCAAAACAAAATAAGCGATCGACCCAGTTCTTTCGATCGTATTCCCAACCCATGGCAAAAAAATTCCGGAAAGGAAACACTCTCCAGATGAAGAATTGAAACACTGGCTCCGATTCTAGGGTTTCACCATGACCACATTCAAAACAGAACGAAAAAAAAAACAAGAAGAAAAAAGGAAGAAGAGTAACAAAACCAAATAAACAAACTAGTGCGAAATTCAGGCTTCTGGTTTTTTGAAAGTAAAAAAACCTTGGCGGAACCGACTCTAGTGTGCTTTATACATGTATATATATATATATATATATATATGTATTTTTAGGGTTCCAAGGGAGGCGGAGGTAGTGAAGGAGGCGAAACGACAGCGTTTCAATTTGCATTTCATCAACTTTTTGAACGTCACCAGAAAATGACGTGTTCAATTTTTTTCTTCAGGACAATTTGACACGTCATCTATTAATAAAAATCAAATCGATTTTAACCGGTTTAGACAAATTTTAACCGGTTTTGTACTTTACCAAAAAATGACATTTAAATAGAATTAGGTTCCAATTTCCCCTATCTGACAACGGTTTTAACTAACAAAAATGAAAGGATTGGAAATTAAATGTGAAAATAATGACCTTTTTAATTATCCATTTGCCAAATTTAAAAAAAAATGGACGATTGAATCTGTTGACGACACGCAATACAAAAACTTGCTTTACCAAATGTTTATAAAATAAATGTTTACGATGCTTAAGAAGAAAGACCGTTTCTGGCTGTTTTGAGACCAAACAGGTTCTTCAGCAGGTCGGCAGTGTTCGGAAGTAGCTTCATGGGACGTGGAGCCATGAAGTTAACAATCTTCTCATGCACATTATACCTGTAATGCAATATGTATATATGTATATAACGTTATCATTCTCATATGCAGACACTATTATAATGATCTCGCGATGAAAATCCTGTCGGAACTTTACCTGATCTTTCGGCTCTTTGATGCCCTCCTATCCACTGCTTTCCTCTTCTTTGTCTGAAATTTCTTCAGAGCATAAAACGCCGCCTCTGCAACCACATGTAAAACCAACACTCGGAAACCCAGACAGAATATGAACAGAAACTGGAGTTTTATGAGATAAAAATCCCACCCACATTCAGTAAATAATACTAGAATTGTAAATCAATACAACTAGTTGCGTAAATTGTAAGCATTTACTCGAGTATATGTATATACCTGACGATGCTGGGTCGATCGTCTCGAAGAATTCCTTCAGCAACTGCTGGTAGAATTCAGTATCCTCCAGAAGTTCAGGATCTCCCTCAAGTTTTGTTTCCTGTTTAAAAAAAAGATCTTTGAAGTCAATGATGAGCATAAGATAAAGAGTAACCCAAGATCATTCTACGATAGTTTACATGGTCTATTAGATTACAGATTGCTAAGATGATAATTTATATGCATAACATTCAAACATTTTGGACCGAACATAACACAATAAACATCTTTAATGCATGATACTCCAGGTCAGGTGACAATGGTGAAGCACTAGATAAGAAACGAAAAAATTCAAAGAGAAAGATTGCAAGAATACTACCTCCTGGTTTGGATGTGCTGCTTCTCCAGGTACCTGTGCATTAAATTCTAAAGTTCAGTACAAACTGAAGAGAAACTGAATTTTGTCCCATCAAGACCAAACTTGTGACACTGACTTACAGTTCCAAAAACAGCAACAGTAGATCTTATTTGTTGCATCTGTTTAATCATTCTACTCGGATCCCTCATGTGCGAAGCAACCTGTTCACTAATGTTCTTTTTTTAAAAAAAAAAAGGAACAACTCAAAGTGAGATTTCTGACAATACTCCAACTAAGAGCATATAACTCGGGTTCAGTATCTATTACCTGGTTGAAAGCATGGAGCTTTCCTTTAATAGCAGCTGCGCCCGTTGTGACTTGTGATCTTCTCTGCCATTTGTCCACTGCCTTATCTCGGAAAGAAGATATTCTACAACATAAATAAAAACCCATTTTTTGTATCAATAGTGACAAAATAAATGGGTTATAAGACTTAGAAAGCTTACTCTTGAAGATCAGAGTAGTCAATCAAGTTTTACTAGATAGGTTATCATACATGGCGGAAAAATAGACAGTATTAGTCTTGTACAGTTAAACTACGACTTGCTTTATGTGAGTTATACTGGAGAGGAGTGCTTAATTACCTCTTTTGCAAGTCAGATATCCTCTGCCATTCATCAGTGTCTTCAGAATCAGATTTATTGATACGATTTGAATTAGCTGGTCATGAAAAGACAATAGACTAAATGAGAAAAGTTATGTTGACCTTCACATTATAAATATAGACTGTTCTGTTTGATATTGCACAGAAGCTCCATAATTATCTAAAAACCTACCAAATGATATTCCAACACACTAAAATCTGGAGAAAGAAAACAACAGAGCATAACCACATAAAATGTTAAGAAATATGCAAATCATACCATCTACTTGCTGATCAATGGAGGGATTCTTCTCGAGCAAAGCCTAAAAATCAATGAAACAGAGAGATAGCACACATTCAGGCCAGGGGGCCAGCCACACAATTAAGAATTCAGATAACTCACAACACTGTCTACTTTTAAAAGAACAAGAATATTGGTTTCCTCGTCAAAGCATACCTCTTGCAACTCCAAGAGGGAATCTAAAGTCTTCTTAGATGAAGTAATTAGATCTGCATATGCTGTAGATACATTTCCGTCCGTTGAACAAAAAGATAACTTGACAGGCTCCTGGAAGCATTTCTTTCCATCATCAGCATAATGAAACTAGTAAAGATAAAGAAAAACGGGAAAAGGTAAAAGTTTACCAGTGGCAATCTATTTGAACTTGCAAATGCCTTCTGCAGTAAGAATCTGAACTCCAGAGTTTTATCCCAAAGAGCCTTCACGTGGAGCACAAAGAAGAAAGTTATTAGAAACTTCAGTAATCTTCAAGTTGCTCACCAGAATAACTTTAGTGATACAAAGATAAATACATATAATTTCACAAATGGGATTACTAAGAAGATTACTTCTTGAAACTTAGAACAATGTCATACCTTCTGGTTCTTCACCGCTTGACCTTTGACAGCATCTTCATCCGTATTACGCTTTAGGTTCTTCAATATATTCCTAGTCCAAGAACAACCATATCATGCACAGAAAAATGCCAAAACAACAGTCTTATTGTGTCAATCTTTTAAATTAGATCATAAATCATAATTTAGAGAGATAATATCTGAAATATCTTCCATTGAGATCTGTAATTTAACCTTAGAATAACAGATTCCATGTGAAAAAAATTATTCCCAACTAGTCATGGGGAATTCAAATTGATTTTAATGAGTTCCTAAATTAAGCCAATGCTATGGCTTATGTTTTTTTTTTTTGGTATGAATGCTATGGCTTATGTTGCTTTACCGCTTTAGTTTAAAGAATTTTTTAAAACCGCTTTATTTTAAAGAATTTTTTAAAGCTTCCGATCATTTCGACAAACAAATATACATAAAGGCAAAGAGAGAAAAGAATAATCCGAAGTCTTACTGCTCTTCTGAACGAAGATCCATATACTCTTTCTCAAGTTCTTCCATCTCAGCATTTATATGTCCATCATCAGGTTCACCACCACTTTCAGTTTCTCTGTCATTCCCTTCTTCATCTTCCTCGGTATTTCCTTCATCACCCTCCCCGGTAATTTCTTCATCATATTCCTCACTATCCCTTTCATCTTCTTCGTCAGTTATGTTATCCTCTAGCTCATCATCCTCATACTCATAATCTTTACCCTCACCTTCCACCTGTAATAGGATCCTCCTTTAGCAAATAAATTTATGAAAAACCATCTATCCTAACAAAAAAAGGGTATTAAACATCACCCTATGGTTTTCCCGGTCACTTATGTCTTCAGAATCACTACTAGAAAGTCTTGCTTTCTTCGACCTCTTTACACTCGGCCTCATCTTCCCCACCTACAACATCCAAAAAAAATCACTTCAAACCATTAGACCATAATCCCTGACCATAATTTCTCAAATCCCCAAATCTAAACCCTGGATTATGTTTATCCAAAAGATCAAGCCTTTAATTCGAATCCCTCAGTCAGTGTAAGTAAAAGTGAATGCACTTCCAATTGTTCCGACAAACAACAAAAATTGATAATAACACTATAGGGGGTAATCACCGCTGAATCTCATTCTTTCTACCAATCTTGTGAAACCAAGCTAAACTCAATTGGTTCATCCGAAATTTAGTATGAAAGTAAGGAACCGACTTCGCCGGCTTTGGGCTTACTTGAATAAAAGGACTCCTTGGTTTGTGACAGAAACTCCCGCCGACGGTCGAGGGCAAAGTCCAAAATGTTCTACAACCCAACCAAAAAAAACTCAAAACCAGAAAACATCATACGGGCAGAATGGATGCGAGCGGTCAAGCAGTGATCGGAAG